TGTTCAACCTGTTCTGGTGATTGTCTATCATTATCCTTGCCTTGTGCATGTTCACATGAAACTGGCGGTGAGTTTGCATACACAAGTGATGGACTCATCAAGGAGGAATTCCTTAAAGAGTGTATTTCAATGAATCGTGATCCTGAAAAACACTGCCAGTACTTCTGTAAGGAATGTCCACTGGAAAGGTCAAAAAATGAAGATATCGTTGGATCTTGCAAGGGTCATTTGGTGAGGAAGTTCATCAAAGAATGTTGGTTGAAATGTGGGTGTAATATACAGTGCGGCAATCGAGTGGTACAAAGGGGAATAAGTCGCAATTTACAGGTAGGAGTTCCTGCCTATGTTTGGACCTAGACCCAACCCCATGTTCTTTTTGCTTGATTATCGAGTCTTATGATCTCGTTGATGCTTTAATAATAAGTTTTTCCATGATTGCACTAACTTTTCCTTATATAATTTTTTCTTCAGGTGTTTATGACTCCTGGTGGAAAAGGGTGGGGTTTACGTACCTTGGAGGATCTGCCAAAAGGTGCCTTTGTCTGCGAATATGTTGGAGAAGTTTTAACAAATGCGGAGCTATATGATCGTGTACGGAGCTCCAAAGGGGAAGAACATTCATATCCTGTGCTCCTTGATGCTGATTGGTGTTCGGAAGTTGTTTTAAAGGATGAAGATGCTCTTTGTTTAGATGCTACATATTATGGTAACGTAGCAAGGTTTATCAACCATAGGTAAGTTCAGTTGATTGAGAACGCATTCATTTTGTGAATTATTGTTCTTTTTCGTGAAGTTCACTGTTCAGTCACCATGTCTCTTGGTCTTAATCTCTAGTGTGATAGCGAGTTAGTAATATGTTTCTAGCTTATTCAAAAAATGAGAGAGAGCAAACCAAGGCAAAGGATCATAACATGAATCTTTCGTGTTGTCAAAAGTTGCTCCATTGAAGAGCTTAGTAGAGCCTTGTTTAAGGTCTTGACAATCAATACAAATGAAAGGCTGTCTGTTTATCACATTGTTTATGATAATGTTCAGATAAGATGGGGAAACTGAAGAAGGTAAGGTTTAGGTTAAACATTTTTATTTCATTTATTAGATTATCCTATTCAACCCTGGCTATAATGCTGACTTCCTAGAACTCTTTCATTTTTGTAATTGAGTCCCTCTCTCCCTCCACAGGTGCGCAGAAGCACATACATATAACCATAAAATTGCGTTTGCTTAAATATGTCAACATCCTTGTCAAAGACAAATTCTTTTGTCTCCAATCCCGTCTGCCTCCAGAATGTAGAATGCATTAAATTTTATAGAAGAGATTTCTCTTTCTCAGAGCCTTTGGTTGATTTCGTTTTCAGATTTCTTAATAGCCATTTTTATATCCTGCTAGGTGTTTCGATTCAAACATGGTGGAGATACCTGTGGAAGTGGAGACACCTGATCACCACTATTACCATGTATGAAATCCTATCCATAATGGTTAACCTTTTCCGTTTTCCATGGCGACTGCTGTTAATCATTTGTGTCCACAGTTTTATTGAATTTTGCATCTCTTAATGCAGCTTGCCTTCTTCACTACAAGAAAGGTAAAAGCTATGGAAGAACTCACTTGGGTAAGTAGGATTTATTTCATTGAAATACGTTATGTATAAACGTGCTTTTTGTTGTTCTAGGGAGGTATAGATGTCTACTGTTCTTAGTAATGTATATTCGACTATTGTGAACAATTAATGGGAAAATCACTTGCTTTATGATTTCGAGGAGCTAGAATATGGTCGATTTGGAACTGTGAAAATGTGGCAATAATATTGGTGGGCGTTTTTCATCTAGATCATATTTTACTGAAATTGGTTTCATTTTGAGGGAGCACTATGTCATTGATAAAGGAGTCTTAGTGTCTCGAAAATGTCATAAATCCGTTTGAATGAAAATGCAGTGTAAGCTTAAGCAAATTTCAACCTCTTCATTGCTAGTTGGAAACCATCTATCCTACTAGTAATATTTTAGTTGGTTTTTTGGGAACAGATGAAGGCACCCATTGAGGATAAATTGAGAGTAGGATGAGTTAGGTGGTTGGAGGATGTCACCTAAAGAAACTCCCTTTCACAAGAGTGATGAGATCCTAATAGAATATTTTAGAAAGGGAGAGTTAGACAAAAATTTACCTGGTATACCGGAGTTAAAAGCATTCTGATTGCCTTAGATCTTCCCATGGATGTGGAGATGGACTGCAAGGAGTAGTGAAAAAGCATGTGTAGCTGATCCTAAATTTTATAAGAATAAGGCTTAGTTTGTTGTTTTGTTAAGTTATATGCTTGCATTCATTAATTTTTTTTTTTCCTTTATCTTATTTTGAATAACTCGTACACCTACACCCAGGAAGGGTAACCTCTTACTAATCTGCTGCTGCTGATTTTGTGCTATCTCATGCAAAATAACTACAGACTTGCTAAGAATTAAAACCAAGACTTCCCTTTCTGAACATAGAATCTGTCAACACCCACCCTCTAATTATTAAATAATCACAATATAGCTTCCACATTGGAATTTGGATTATGCTAAAGTTGATCTTTTGCCAATTCTTTTTCCTACCTAATTTGTACGAATATAGGCCTCTAAGCAAGAGAATTTGTTTCCATTGGGTGGACTTTAGAAAACTGAGAAAATGAGGCTAAAAGATCCAGGAGCTTGATACCAAGAACAAAAGATGAGGTTAAAAGTGCGAAAGACCATACACGTGGGGATGGTAGCTGCAGTTTAGCGTATGGTTTGATATGGCTGCATCCTTAAATTTTCTTGTCTGGACATTGTAGTTAGATTCTATGTGGTGGTATCTGGTTACATCTTGGTTGCACGACTGTTTGTCTTAATAAATTGAATTGTGCATGTAATAGTTTTTTGAAATGAGTTTTGAACGTGTTAGATTGTTCATTGGCTCCCACCTTTTATTGTTTACCTTTGCTGAAGCCACACCATATTAAATATTAATCCTTCATCCATAACTCAATGAAGTGATTTGAAATGGCACAGAGTTTTATAAAATAGTTGATAAAAGTGGATGGTTGATGTAACTTTTCACTTTTACCCTCACATCTAAGGAACAAGTATCCTTGTTTATGTACTTCAGGGCATTTTTGGGGAGTGAATAATTATTTCTCGTAGGAGGACATAATTTGTACAATTCCAAAGGAAATAGGAGCATTATAACGTAGGCACGGGCTATATAAATGAAAAAGGGTTGATGATGAATTCAATGTTCCACATCTGAGTTTGATTTCATCTGTACGAGTCATTATAACTCGACTGAACTAGCTAGTGAACTGGCCACTCAACTGTCCCCTTCCTCTCACTCAATAAAATAAGGAAGGTCTTGGGCCATGACCATAACCACTGTTGGCAAGGGTGACCCACGGTACATGTGATATTTTAAATGTGTATTGATAGGTAAGTAAAGAAGTACAAAAAATTGGTTGACCTGCATCAGGCCAAAACTAAGAGACCTTCACAAAATAGGCTATTCTGTGTCTAGGGCTGCTTGTTTAACATAAGAACAATATTCCTGCTGGAATAAATGCAGTAGGAAAATTCCTAGAGTATAGACTAATCTCTAACTTAAAGGGTTATCATATGTCTGAAAATTCAGCAACATAAGATTTTGAATTCTAAGTAAATGTTCTCACTTCTGCCCTTTTGTTCGCCATTTTTATGTCTATGATTGTTACTATGTGTAATAAAATCAAATGTGTACTATATGTGCAGTTAACTGCTTTGTTCACTCTCTTTTATCTATGTGTATGTTCAATCACGTGCTCTTAAAATTAAATAACAATTTGATGGCTACACATAGCATAAATTTATGTATCTGAATATGCTCTTTGTTAAAACGTCTCAATGTTATCCTCGCAGGATTATGGTATTGATTTTGATGACCACGATCATCCCGTTAAGGCATTTCGCTGTCAATGTGGCAGCCGGTTCTGCCGCAGCGTAAAGCGTCCAAGTAGTAAGTATTTCACTTATAGGCATGATTCACTGTCACCTCGTTTAAGTTTAAATATGCTGTAAAAGAAGACCACTTCTGCTCTTTCTTAATAATAGTGAATAGTGCTGGCAACAAGCAGAGTAATGAAGCCAAGGGGGGAAAAAGGAAGATTTCTTTCAATCTATTTCACTATGATAGATAGAGCTATCTACTCTAAGAAACCCTTGCATAGCTAATAGCTTGTTGAATCTTCAGAGAGAGCATTTCGATGATTTGTTGAACTTATAAGGTGAGGGAATCCTCATATATTCGGATTTTTCGGAAGTCTATAATAAGGTTAGGGAGGGTAAGGGCCCTTTCTCAGTCTTTGTAGCTTCTATAGTGCCCAGTATAGCATTGGCGGGACCATTTCCCAAAGTAGAGTTCCGAGCTTCTAGTTCTTCTGATTCTGCTAACATCCTTCTATGACAAGCTGACCGAAGGAAAATGCACCAAGTGTTGATGGATCAATGTTCCCAACAGTAGCACCGTAGTAGCTAAAAGATTCCTTCAAGTAGAACCCTTTTAGAGATGGGGAAAACTTCTATCCTTCTTTTTTCTTTTATTGGGAAAAATTCAAATGCCCACAAGTTAAATTTTACCTTATAAACAAGACCAATGCCTCCTTCACTAAGCTTTCGAGTATAATTAAATTTTTGGGTTGCTGCAACAAGGGTCTCGAAAGGAAATTGCTTTTATTCTTGTGCTTCAATTTTCTCCAAATCCTCTACATTTCCCCCTTCTTAAATTAACCTATGCCTTACTGAAGAGGAATCTCCACTGAGTGCTTTCCCATTCTGTAAGTTGGAAGTAAAGGATTTGGAATGTAATTTTCCTCTGCCAGCATGTACACAATTCTGTTTCCGATTGTTCTGTTGGAGCACACTTGAACCACTTTGTGTAGATTGTTTCTTATGCCTAGTCTTCTGCATTTTTTTGTTGGCTTTTGAATGGCTGGTTTGAATTGCACAAGACAAAGCAGATTCACCTCAGCCCAATACTAAAAAATTGAGGGCTGAGTCACAGGAGAGGAGCGATCCCTCTCAGCCTAGTGCTGTCAATAAAAGTCAGCAAAAGACCAGTTTGAGAACTGAATCCAATTCAGTTTCTCATCCAATGCGCCTGAGAGACAGAGGAAAGGGAACTCTCTCACCACAAATTCCTTCTGGGGAGAAGAGGTCATCTCTTGCTGGATGCCATAAAGAGCCAAACCTTCAGCCCAGCATTGCCGGGTTACCCAAACAGAAGACCACTACCGGTCATGTTTTAGTTAAAGAAGAGCCTGTCACCTATGATGTGTCGAAGCTTGAGGTTCCTTCTGCAGTCACCCAGCCAGGTATATGTTATCCATCCTGACTGAAAGTTACTATCATTTTGACAAAAGTTACTTTTGTAAGTTTATGTGAGCTTTGCTTCTGCTTATCTATTCTTTATTGGTACCCATCTAGTTTTTGTCCACATAATTGGTCCTCCACTTCACTTGAATCGTTGGAATCATCTGCCCATTTGGCTTCTGGAAATACCTGGTCCTGGTGTTTGCTGGTTTCTGTAAAGTTTTTAGGTTTTTTTTGAAAGTTCAAGACCTCTGGTATTTTTGACCTCGTTCAATAGGATGAGGTGATTTACTTTGAAATATTTGTCAAAATGGAAGCATATTGATTATGTCTTTCTAATGTACTTGATTGTTATGACTTTCTAATGTAATTGATTGATTTTCATGTATTGGATGTTGACTGTTGAGAGAAGTATTTGCTGCCCCATTTGTGGGTTATTCAATTGAGGTCCCAGATTGTGACTTATTTGAACTACCAACATATTTGGCATATGTCTGACATATTCAATTTAAGGTTTACCTTCTGCATTTGCCTTTATTTATTCATAGGAAATATAGCTGAGTTTTTGTGAGTTCATCATTTTCAGATCCATCAAGTAAAGGAGAGTCATCTAGTGGAAATGGTTCGATCAGAGAAAATAATGGTCCTGATCTGTTACAGTTTATGGGTGAAAAAGGCACAGCTGATGGGGTTCCCATTTCAAATGAAACGAGAAACAATGGCAACCCGGCAATGGTTTCAGGTGAATCTTGTTTAAACCTTGAGATTGCTTCCTCACCTTTTGGAGAGGTGAAAATTTATGATCTGCAACTTGACTTTTGGAAGGCCTGACTTCCATATGCCTAGTCTTGATGCAGCACTAAAATTTTGGAGGATAAATGTCTCAGATCATACAAAACTTATGATATGAACTTTTCCTTGATGAAACTTATGAAATAAATTTTGAACTGAATCCTCTTAACTCCAGAAACCATAAATGTGAAACTCATTATTGATTCATTCAAAAAATCTTTTTAACAGATGCTTTAGGTGCTAAAGGCACGCGCTTTCATTCTTTGAATGGATCAGTCGGTTCTCAGTTTGATGAGGAGGTAGCTCTGCTCCAAGAACCAAAACTTCCTCCATCTTGTGATGGTGTGGATGACGGCATGCAGCTTAACAAGAAGGCCAGTGAAAATTTCTGTGTAACAGATGAAGAAAATAAAGAGAATGATCTTGAAGACACAAACTTCCAGCATGTTGTGGTTAGCCAGGAGCGTCAATTGACACCTGAAAGGATAAGTTCACTCCATGACGTTGTTGATATAGCCAAGGGACAAGAAAGAGTAGTAATTACCCTGGTGAATGAATTTAATGACAAGTCTCCGCCATCTTTCTTCTACATACCCAAAAATGCTGTTTTCCAAAATGCATATGTAAATTTTTCTCTAGCTCGTATAGGAGATAATAATTGTTGTTCAACCTGTTCTGGTGATTGTCTATCATTATCCTTGCCTTGTGCATGTTCACATGAAACTGGCGGTGAGTTTGCATACACAAGTGATGGACTCATCAAGGAGGAATTCCTTAAAGAGTGTATTTCAATGAATCGTGATCCTGAAAAACACTGCCAGTACTTCTGTAAGGAATGTCCACTGGAAAGGTCAAAAAATGAAGATATCGTTGGATCTTGCAAGGGTCATTTGGTGAGGAAGTTCATCAAAGAATGTTGGTTGAAATGTGGGTGTAATATACAGTGCGGCAATCGAGTGGTACAAAGGGGAATAAGTCGCAATTTACAGGTAGGAGTTCCTGCCTATGTTTGGACCTAGACCCAACCCCATGTTCTTTTTGCTTGATTATCGAGTCTTATGATCTCGTTGATGCTTTAATAATAAGTTTTTCCATGATTGCACTAACTTTTCCTTATATAATTTTTTCTTCAGGTGTTTATGACTCCTGGTGGAAAAGGGTGGGGTTTACGTACCTTGGAGGATCTGCCAAAAGGTGCCTTTGTCTGCGAATATGTTGGAGAAGTTTTAACAAATGCGGAGCTATATGATCGTGTACGGAGCTCCAAAGGGGAAGAACATTCATATCCTGTGCTCCTTGATGCTGATTGGTGTTCGGAAGTTGTTTTAAAGGATGAAGATGCTCTTTGTTTAGATGCTACATATTATGGTAACGTAGCAAGGTTTATCAACCATAGGTAAGTTCAGTTGATTGAGAACGCATTCATTTTGTGAATTATTGTTCTTTTTCGTGAAGTTCACTGTTCAGTCACCATGTCTCTTGGTCTTAATCTCTAGTGTGATAGCGAGTTAGTAATATGTTTCTAGCTTATTCAAAAAATGAGAGAAAGAGCAAACCGAGGCAAAGGATCATAACATGATTCTTTCGTGTTGTCAAAAGTTGCTCCATTGAAGAGCTTAGTAGAGCCTTGTTTAAGGTCTTGACAATCAATACAAATGAAAGGCTGTCTGTTTATCACATTGTTTATGATAATGTTCAGATAAGATGGGGAAACTGAAGAAGGTAAGGTTTAGGTTAAACATTTTTATTTCATTTATTAGATTATCCTATTCAACCCTGGCTATAATGCTGACTTCCTAGAACTCTTTCATTTTTGTAATTGAGTCCCTCTCTCCCTCCACAGGTGCGCAGAAGCACATACATATAACCATAAAATTGCGTTTGCTTAAATATGTCAACATCCTTGTCAAAGACAAATTCTTTTGTCTCCAATCCCGTCTGCCTCCAGAATGTAGAATGCATTAAATTTTATAGAAGAGATTTCTCTTTCTCAGAGCCTTTGGTTGATTTCGTTTTCAGATTTCTTAATAGCCATTTTTATATCCTGCTAGGTGTTTCGATTCAAACATGGTGGAGATACCTGTGGAAGTGGAGACACCTGATCACCACTATTACCATGTATGAAATCCTATCCATAATGGTTAACCTTTTCCGTTTTCCATGGCGACTGCTGTTAATCATTTGTGTCCACAGTTTTATTGAATTTTGCATCTCTTAATGCAGCTTGCCTTCTTCACTACAAGAAAGGTAAAAGCTATGGAAGAACTCACTTGGGTAAGTAGGATTTATTTCATTGAAATACGTTATGTATAAACGTGCTTTTTGTTGTTCTAGGGAGGTATAGATGTCTACTGTTCTTAGTAATGTATATTCGACTATTGTGAACAATTAATGGGAAAATCACTTGCTTTATGATTTCGAGGAGCTAGAATATGGTCGATTTGGAACTGTGAAAATGTGGCAATAATATTGGTGGGCGTTTTTCATCTAGATCATATTTTACTGAAATTGGTTTCATTTTGAGGGAGCACTATGTCATTGATAAAGGAGTCTTAGTGTCTCGAAAATGTCATAAATCCGTTTGAATGAAAATGCAGTGTAAGCTTAAGCAAATTTCAACCTCTTCATTGCTAGTTGGAAACCATCTATCCTACTAGTAATATTTTAGTTGGTTTTTTGGGAACAGATGAAGGCACCCATTGAGGATAAATTGAGAGTAGGATGAGTTAGGTGGTTGGAGGATGTCACCTAAAGAAACTCCCTTTCACAAGAGTGATGAGATCCTAATAGAATATTTTAGAAAGGGAGAGTTAGACAAAAATTTACCTGGTATACCGGAGTTAAAAGCATTCTGATTGCCTTAGATCTTCCCATGGATGTGGAGATGGACTGCAAGGAGTAGTGAAAAAGCATGTGTAGCTGATCCTAAATTTTATAAGAATAAGGCTTAGTTTGTTGTTTTGTTAGGTTATATGCTTGCATTCATTAATTTTTTTTTTCCTTTATCTTATTTTGAATAACTCGTACACCTACACCCAGGAAGGGTAACCTCTTACTAATCTGCTGCTGCTGATTTTGTGCTATCTCATGCAAAATAACTACAGACTTGCTAAGAATTAAAACCAAGACTTCCCTTTCTGAACATAGAATCTGTCAACACCCACCCTCTAATTATTAAATAATCACAATATAGCTTCCACATTGGAATTTGGATTATGCTAAAGTTGATCTTTTGCCAATTCTTTTTCCTACCTAATTTGTACGAATATAGGCCTCTAAGCAAGAGAATTTGTTTCCATTGGGTGGACTTTAGAAAACTGAGAAAATGAGGCTAAAAGATCCAGGAGCTTGATACCAAGAACAAAAGATGAGGTTAAAAGTGCGAAAGACCATACACGTGGGGATGGTAGCTGCAGTTTAGCGTATGGTTTGATATGGCTGCATCCTTAAATTTTCTTGTCTGGACATTGTAGTTAGATTCTATGTGTTGGTATCTGGTTACATCTTGGTTGCACGACTGTTTGTCTTAATATATTGAATTGTGCATGTAATAGTTTTTTGAAATGAGTTTTGAACGTGTTAGATTGTTCATTGGCTCCCACCTTTTATTGTTTACCTTTGCTGAAGCCACACCATATTAAATATTAATCCTTCATCCATAACTCAATGAAGTGATTTGAAATGGCACAGAGTTTTATAAAATAGTTGATAAAAGTGGATGGTTGATGTAACTTTTCACTTTTACCCTCACATCTAAGGAACAAGTATCCTTGTTTATGTACTTCAGGGCATTTTTGGGGAGTGAATAATTATTTCTCGTAGGAGGACATAATTTGTACAATTCCAAAGGAAATAGGAGCATTATAACGTAGGCACGGGCTATATAAATGAAAAAGGGTTGATGATGAATTCAATGTTCCACATCTGAGTTTGATTTCATCTGTACGAGTCATTATAACTCGACTGAACTAGCTAGTGAACTGGCCACTCAACTGTCCCCTTCCTCTCACTCAATAAAATAAGGAAGGTCTTGGGCCATGACCATAACCACTGTTGGCAAGGGTGACCCACGGTACATGTGATATTTTAAATGTGTATTGATAGGTAAGTAAAGAAGTACAAAAAATTGGTTGACCTGCATCAGGCCAAAACTAAGAGACCTTCACAAAATAGGCTATTCTGTGTCTAGGGCTGCTTGTTTAACATAAGAACAATATTCCTGCTGGAATAAATGCAGTAGGAAAATTCCTAGAGTATAGACTAATCTCTAACTTAAAGGGTTATCATATGTCTGAAAATTCAGCAACATAAGATTTTGAATTCTAAGTAAATGTTCTCACTTCTGCCCTTTTGTTCGCCATTTTTATGTCTATGATTGTTACTATGTGTAATAAAATCAAATGTGTACTATATGTGCAGTTAACTGCTTTGTTCACTCTCTTTTATCTATGTGTATGTTCAATCACGTGCTCTTAAAATTAAATAACAATTTGATGGCTACACATAGCATAAATTTATGTATCTGAATATGCTCTTTGTTAAAACGTCTCAATGTTATCCTCGCAGGATTATGGTATTGATTTTGATGACCACGATCATCCCGTTAAGGCATTTCGCTGTCAATGTGGCAGCCGGTTCTGCCGCAGCGTAAAGCGTCCAAGTAGTAAGTATTTCACTTATAGGCATGATTCACTGTCACCTCGTTTAAGTTTAAATATGCTGTAAAAGAAGACCACTTCTGCTCTTTCTTAATAATAGTGAATAGTGCTGGCAACAAGCAGAGTAATGAAGCCAAGGGGGGAAAAAGGAAGATTTCTTTCAATCTATTTCACTATGATAGATAGAGCTATCTACTCTAAGAAACCCTTGCATAGCTAATAGCTTGTTGAATCTTCAGAGAGAGCATTTCGATGATTTGTTGAACTTATAAGGTGAGGGAATCCTCATATATTCGGATTTTTCGGAAGTCTATAATAAGGTTAGGGAGGGTAAGGGCCCTTTCTCAGTCTTTGTAGCTTCTATAGTGCCCAGTATAGCATTGGCGGGACCATTTCCCAAAGTAGAGTTCCGAGCTTCTAGTTCTTCTGATTCTGCTAACATCCTTCTATGACAAGCTGACCGAAGGAAAATGCACCAAGTGTTGATGGATCAATGTTCCCAACAGTAGCACCGTAGTAGCTAAAAGATTCCTTCAAGTAGAACCCTTTTAGAGATGGGGAAAACTTCTATCCTTCTTTTTTCTTTTATTGGGAAAAATTCAAATGCCCACAAGTTAAATTTTACCTTATAAACAAGACCAATGCCTCCTTCACTAAGCTTTCGAGTATAATTAAATTTTTGGGTTGCTGCAACAAGGGTCTCGAAAGGAAATTGCTTTTATTCTTGTGCTTCAATTTTCTCCAAATCCTCTACATTTCCCCCTTCTTAAATTAACCTATGCCTTACTGAAGAGGAATCTCCACTGAGTGCTTTCCCATTCTGTAAGTTGGAAGTAAAGGATTTGGAATGTAATTTTCCTCTGCCAGCATGTACACAATTCTGTTTCCGATTGTTCTGTTGGAGCACACTTGAACCACTTTGTGTAGATTGTTTCTTATGCCTAGTCTTCTGCATTTTTTTGTTGGCTTTTGAATGGCTGGTTTGAATTGAACACACTATGTTCTTTATAGACCAAGCTTCTACTGCTGCCCAGGTTTAAGCCGTCTCGTTTCTGAACATTGGCCTTCGCCTGTAGTGCAAGTGAAATTGATTTTCCTTTACTTTTAATGCCCAGTTGAAATTCTTCAGAATCTTTTTTAAGACATTGACTGGTGTTGCGTCCATAATTTTACCTTAAAATACCTTGCAAAATTTGTTTCACATGAACTCTGAGCTGATTGAACCTCTCTTTCAAATTCTTTACCCGTAAGGGAACTGATGATGACTCCACCCGGAGGCAATTGTGGTTGTCTGTTAGCTTGAGGTCCCGGTTCTATAATTCTTGAAGCTGCTTCCATAATGTAAGCATCATCCTTAGACGGGTAAAATTGGCATTTTTGATCAGAGATACAAGTTTGTGATGGGTGATTGGGATGGACTTAGCGGACTTAGAGTTGGGTAATGGGTATCTAGAATTTCATAGGGAAGGGGAGGGAAGGATAGGGGCGGCGGCGGAAGGGGGTTGGGTTGGCGAAGAAAGATTTTTTTTTATTTTTCCTTTTTTTAACTGTTTTAATTGGGACCTGTTTCGCTTTTTGAAAATTTTGGGACTTGGCTGCAATTATTTGTTTATTTTTTCTTCCTTTCTTTTCTTTTTCTTTATTTAAAGAGGAGGGTAAACGTCATTTTACAAGGCTTCAATGGAGGGAATGGACGGCAGGGAGGATTATTGGACAACGTTTGCTTGATTTGAGGGTGAAATGCGCCAAATTGAAAGGATAGAGACGATTTGCACAAAATAGGTCAAGTATAGGGACTTTTTGTGCCAATTAGCCTTTTTCAAACTGCCGCCAATACGTTAACCCATGCTTGTTTTCATTTTTACTTCTTCTGTGAACATCGTGCTTTTGTAGATAATCACAGTAGACAGAATCGTAAAGTTGGGTGCACATCAAGAATATTTCTTGTATTTTCTTGGCTTTCGTTAATACTGCTAACCAGACCGTTTGTTTGGCAGGATCCAGATCTTCAAGGAGATGACCATGCGGCTATTGATTCTGCTTAACTCTGTTGAAAACTCAGGGAATTACATAATTAACAGGACAGATTCTGATATTTAAGAATTTCCATTTGACACAATTATATTAGTGGCTCTTGGCTCTATTGAAAAGCTAGTTGAGGCAGTTTTACTCAAAATCTTTGCTCGGGAAGACATTTGTTGAGTTTGCACAACTTGTAAGCCAGGACTCGAGGTTCGTTTCATGCCTTCTTTGTCACACCCTTTAGTGCATGTTTGGTACGTAGTACTACATAATAGTGGGAAAAAAAAAATCTACTTTTCTTTCATCGTTAATTCTGTTCAGTGCCATTATGGCACATGACCTTGTCAGTATTAGTTTTGAACTTTTCTTCCTGTGATCTTTGCACATTTTCTGCTTAGCAGAGTCGACTAAGGCAGGTGTTATCTTCCTTAGCCTGTTGTATGTACACTGCTAATGGAGTGATTTACTTGCAGATTCAACTCATTTCTGTATTAATTTACTTCTTTGTTGAAGGTTTTTTGTATCCCCATTTGATCGGGTGACAAAAAAGGATTCATGTAACTGGCTTTTAACTTATTAAGTGTAAGACTTTGTTGTTTATTGTTTATCGTTAGTTGTCACTTGTCATGGTTTGTAATGCACGTGATTGATTTTTGTTTTCATATGTTCGCAGTGAATTGCAAGTAGTTGTACGAAGTCTTAACTCTCGAGCACCATACATATATATTGAGGCCACAAAGTGGTTAATCTGTGGCAAAATACAAAAAACAGATCTAAGGACGTTTAAATTAATTTTTTAATTCTCTGAAGAAATGCGAATGCTGCAATTTAACTATAATGAATTTTCCATTGTTGTGGGAATTAATCAATATATGATTGGGGTTGTGGACCTAGTGGTGGGCAAAAACTTATGAACCCTTATTAGTTTAGGTCGTTTTGGGGACAGTGGCTCATTTATAATGAAGAGGATGAGCTTTAAAAGCATGATGTAACCCCAACATGGGTCATATTCACTACAAGGTGACCCCAACTTGAAAATCACAATTTTCCTAAAAAAAATTAAAAGGGAAAATATATTTTGAAATTGACCTAATTGAGTCATTTTGGTTTTAAACCTATGTGATTTGATTTTNCTAAAAAAAATTAAAAGGGAAAATATATTTTGAAATTGACCTAATTGAGTCATTTTGGTTTTAAACCTATGTGATTTGATTTTTGGGTAGGGTTTTTATCCTATCCAAATGGTAAGTTTGGTGGTCAGGGTTGAGTTTGAACTTGACTCAACTTGATTTGTGTCCATTCTTGATTATTGTTGACTTCTTATTAAGGAACTTCAAGATTTAATATACTCTCAGGCTTCAAAGCTCGAACTCGCAGATTTGGTGGCTTCACACTGACCGTCTTGAGGTTTTGGGAGGGGGACGTTAAAAGGTAAAATGTCATGTTGAATAAATCAAAATTCAAGATTTTAGATTTTTAGTTACTTCTCTTGACAATTTTTAGTCACTTTTCTTGACAATTTGACCTTTTGAGATGGAATATAACTCTATTGTTGAAACTATGGTAGAAAGTAAATCATATGTTTCTGAGATAAGAAATACGTTGGCCATTGAAAAAAAAGAAACCCCAATTTTTCTCTTCTACGGTTGAATTATGGCGTGAATTGAAATGACTTCCGCTCTTTAATTAAGGCAATGATAGAATGCCTGGTAACATGGGTATATAATGGTTAGTATTTGATAAGAGAAGAAGTTTATTGATATTGCAATTTAATATGACATAATAACATGGGTATCCTCAATTTAAAAATTATAAATTTTAATGAATTTCGTGAATTTGAAAACAATTTAACAAAATTAAAAAAAAAATAATATTAAAAATAGTGAATTTTTAAAAGAGTTTGTTATAGTATTTTTAAGTTTGCTAGACATCCAAGTCTTTTAAAATCCTTCCAGAAGGGTGTATTCATTTGGAAAACATTTGAAACTTTTTAAAAACTGTTGAGAATTTAATTTAAAAAGTTTAAGTGTATTCAATTTGGACTTCTAAAAATCTCTAAAGGTAATGGGGCATTCAACTGAATTTTTTTAGATCTCTTTATAAGTTATGAGGTATTTAAATAGACAATGATTTTGGAGAATTCTTAGAACGTCCTTTTTTTTTTTCAATTCTAAGATTTTCTCATAGCTCTTCAATTCATTTGCCGTAATCAATTTAAGATTATTCATGTATAGTTACTTTTGAATTGAAATTATATGCAATTGTTTTAAAATTTAGAATTCCATGTAATCATTCTATTCTCGTATTTTCTTCTTTTTGGTTGAGAACAATTTGTATTCTTAGAAATTTTGTTAATTTTGAGAAAACTTCTGGTTATATTCTTAGAAACCGATGTTGAAGTTTTTTATTATTTTATTTGTGACAAAATTGAATGATAGGGTTGTGCAAGTGACCTTACCCAAGAAAATTATGTAAACATCACAATTCTCAAAAATGTTAACTAGGTAGTAAAAAAAATTGTAATTTTCCATATATATGATGAATTTGCAAGATAAAAAGTATTTAAAAATCTTTAATCAAAACCCACGGAAGTCCATGAAAAACTTTTATTAATTCTTAACAAATCTATAATAGTCACTTAAGGGAGGTGTATTCAATTGGGAGTTTTACTGACTTCTAAAGATTTTTTTTAAATAGGTAACTTTTGTGGATCTATGAATTTGTTGAGAATTAATAAAAGTCTTCCATAGGCTTATGTAATTTTTAGTTAAAGATTTCCAAAGACTATTCATGTTGCAAATTAAGAGAATGTTTGGGAGTGATTTTTCCTTAAAAAAATTGATTTTTTGACCATTATTTCACTATTTCAATCGTCATATTTGACTTCTTCTTTCACATGTGGACCCCACTTTTCTCTTAACGGTCAAAAAATCAATTCTCAAAATCATTCCCAAACATGCTCTAATTATATACCTGGAAAATAACAATTTTTTTACTATCTAATTAGCAATTTTGAGAATCACGATGTATACAAAAGTCTTCCATAGGCTTATGTAATTTTTAGTTAAAGATTTCCAAAGACTATTCATGTTGCAAATTAAGAGAATGTTTGGGAGTGATTTTTCCTTAAAAAAATTGATTTTTTGACCATTATTTCACTATTTCAATCGTCATATTTGACTTCTTCTTTCACATGTGGACCCCACTTTTCTCTTAACGGTCAAAAAATCAATTCTCAAAATCATTCCCAAACATGCTCTAATTATATACCTGGAAAATAACAATTTTTTTACTATCTAATTAGCAATTTTGAGAATCACGATGTATACAAAATTTTCTTAATTAAGTCACTAGTCATCGTCCAATCATTCAATTTTGGCGCAAATAAAATAATAAATTTTTTTTCACCAATTTCAAAGAATAAAACCATATTCTTTTACGAAATTAACATTATTCTAAGAACACAAATTATTCTTGACCAAAAGAGAGAGAGAGAGAGAGAGAGAATAGATCAATCACATGGAATTCTACATTTTGAAATAATTGCTTATATTTTTCAATTAAAAAATAATTATGTATATATGAAATAATCATAAATTAATTACAGCAAATGAATTGAAGATATGTGAAATAATCCTATAATTGAAAGAAAAGTTCCTTTCTTTGGGTTTTGAAATCTTCACAAATCACAAAGCATATGAAAATTTTTCTTTGAAATTTGCTATTTTATTTTTTTTTCACCAAAAGTCTCCGTAAGTCCATTAAGTAGAGAATTCTCTAGAAGTTACTGTTTACTTGAATACCTCATAATTCATATAGACTTCTATTGCGGAAGCTTTCTTGAAAGATATTCAAATTGGTGGTTTCCGGGCTCAGTCCAACGCACATTTCTCAACCAACAACCAGTCTAATCGGTTCCAAACCAAAACTAATTGGTTCACCTTGGTTGCTATTGAATCTTACCCATGTAGAATAAGAAAAGATGATAATTTGTGGCCACAAAGGTTAGGAGAAGACACCACAAAGGTATACTATAAAGGAACCACCAATTATACACGTTATACAAGCGTTCTGAACAGTTCTGAAGACCTTTTTTCTCACACAAAGGGGGGCAACTGGATTCTCTTTTTTCTTCTCTCAAAATCACACAATCATCATAAGAAAGTGGCTAGGGTTATAACCATAAATATACTTCAGGGTTAGGCTTTAAGTTGGACCATTAAAGGGGTAAACGGGCCAAGATTCAAACCATCCATAAGGGAATACAATTGGGTCGGGTGTAGCTCATGGACTTAGTTGTTGGACTTATTTCATTCATCGACCTATGCATATGAAATAATATTAACTCACGTTAACATCATAGCCCGAGATTTATTAGGTATCAAAAAACCCAATAACTTCTAAACTTTCAATTGATATTCCCTGACTTTTAGAGAAATTTTAAAAGTTTATAAAAGCCCTAATTGAATATACCTAAACTTTTAAATACACAAATTTAAAAAGTTCCAAATGGATACACCTTATAAAACTGCATAAAATCCACAAAAGTCACTTGCTTAATAAAATTTATTGAAATCTTTAAAAATTTAAATTAAATACACCCTTTTAAATTCACTAATTATTGATGATACCTATATTTTAAATGATTTCATTGAAATTCATTAAAATTTCAGTTGAATAAAATTCATCAAAATTTCAGTTGAAATACCCTGTAAATGCCCTAAGAGGTTTAATTTTAAATGACTTTTGAAATACTATAAATTAGTTTAAAATATACTCATAATTTCAGTAGGAATGATCTATCGAGTACCAATGCTCACCGATGACATGTTATATAAATTTATTAGTGAATAAACTCATGGTGGGCATGTGCATTTGAATTTAAGTTCAAAATTCACCGATAGATTTATATGAAATATCATCAGTATTGAACATAAGACGAGTATTGATGGTAAGTAAATCTAGAATAAATTTTCGTATAAGAATTTCATCAAATATGGTGAAATTTCAAAATATTTATTTATATATATTTTTAAGCTTAAAGTCCATCAAGATGTATTAAAATCATTCTATTAATGAAAATATTTATAAAGTTACTGGTTATTGATGATATCTAAATTTTAAAAAAATTTATTGAATTTCATTAGCATCTCCATTGGGACTCTTAAATTTTAATGAATTTTTAAAATCTCAATTATCTAAAATTAGAAAAAAAAATTAAAATCTATCATAATCTCAATTTAGAAGACTCCTTTTAGTCTTCATTTTTCAAAATTTATTTTTAACCACACATTTATGAGATTTCCAATTTTTCAATCACCCACTTCATCACTTTTATCAAGATTTAAAAAAAAATTTAATTTTTCTCTAAATCAATTAAGGATTAAAACTACTTTAGTTTGTCACATCCAAACAGCCCTTAACTTCGCCAAAACCCTAGCTCGCCTATAACTTTCAAATAAAACCTAGCGCCTCCAGGAGGAGAGACACACACAGCCAAAATGTCGAAGCGAGGTACGATGTCTTCCGATCAACGTTTCGATACCGACAAATAATTCATTCCTTTTTTACGAAGTAATGTTTCTTGCATTCGATTTTTGTGCAGGACGTGGAGGATCGGCGGGTAACAAGTTCAGAATGTCGCTGGGTCTGCCGGTGGCGGCGACAGTGAACTGCGCCGATAACACTGGTGCGAAGAACCTGTACATCATTTCGGTGAAGGGGATCAAGGGAAGGCTCAACAGGCTGCCCTCAGCCTGCGTCGGAGATATGGTGATGGCTACGGTGAAGAAGGGGAAACCAGAACTCCGTAAGAAGGTCATGCCCGCTGTCATTGTACGCCAGCGCAAACCATGGCGCCGAAAGGATGGTGTCTTCATGTACTTCGAAGGTTCTGTGCAAGTTTACTCCTCTCTTCCTCCCAGTTTTCATTTTTAGTTTGAACAATATTGTGCAAGTGATCTCGCATGCCTTTTTTTATGACTTGTGATCTTCTTATTGATTTTTTGTATTGGAAAGTATTAGAAGACATGCAATTTCAGTTTCCCGGGCTATATATAATCCTGTAGACAATTTGTACAGTCCTTTTGCATCGTTCCTTTTTTGCTGCTTGAATGAAAAATATTATCGGGTTGGCACTTTTATCCAATTACTAGTCAAAGTTGCACGATGTTCTAAAATACTTTATAATTGATGTAAAAGTAATATTTGGTACCAATTTATTGGCAGATTTGATGAATATCGGACGAACTAAAGAAAATAAAATTTAGTATAAAAATTTAAGAGAAAAAATTTTTGTACTCAAATTGTATCTCAAAACTCAATTTTTATGATTCAAATTTTTTGTAATGATGAAATACTATAAATGAGCAATCATTTTATATTACATTTACAAGATCTGTTCTTTTTATAATATAACGAATAGAATTTTTTTGCGGGGGAGATTTGTATATTTAAGCATCTCGAATAGCCCAATATTTTGCATAAGATTGCTTCTTTTTCTTTGTAAAAAGCTGTAATAGATATGACATTTTTTGTGGGGGTGATTTTTATGTTTAAGCATCTCATGTAATTTTTTTCCTGGCATGTTACTGCATTGTGGTAATAAGTATTCGTATCATGCATTGAAGTTTTATT